ACCTTATGGGGAAATTTCCTTTGGGTTGCGACCAATTCGGGGTGCGACCAGAGTCACAGAATGAATTAAGTTCTTAACCCGAGGTTCCACTGTATATGTGAAAATATTATTAATAGAAAAAATGTAACCAGTTAAATTTATTTATGATTTTCCAGATTAGAACCACTTTAACTAGATTTCTCTGTTGCTCTTAAATAGTCTCTTGAACAGAACAGGCAATGAAGTCTAGGCTTATATCTAAATATTAAATAAGTATTTTTAAAATGTTATACAATACAAGCTCTTATTTTTATTGTAAATAGGCATAGGAAACTATGCTTCTATTAATCTTGCAATCTTGCATTTTCAGCATTTCACCTTCTTACAAGAGTCTTCCACTGGTATCAGAATCATTTCCAACCTTACGATCTATGATGGAAGCGTTAAGTGCAGATTCATCACATTGCCTTAAAAGGCTTTAGTTGCTATGTAACTTAATAACTCAATAAAGAGCACTGACTTCCTCTTTTATATGGGTTTTTTTCCCCGACATGATCAAGAAATGCTTTTATATCTGATACTATTTTTTTGTGGAAACCAAAGACCTGTGTCCTTTATAAATGCAGTAGAAAATAGAAGCCTTTTCAGCAGTTGAAACTATTGGAGAGAGGATGATGATTTGATTTATTCTATATATAATTCTGTGCCTCTATTTCTTAATCAGTGATGTACTTAAAAAGATACTCTGCAGAATTAGGTGTTCTGAAGCCCATTAAAATCAATATGCACCAAATGTATGCACTCATTGTATAAGATCATGCTCAGTCCCATTAGGGTTTCTGAAAATTGATGGATGTAGGATACAAATAATTGAAAACAGGAACTTTGAAATAGTTGCAGATACTTGTTTTCAGAAAATGTTGATTGATTATGATTATCAGTACTCTAATTGAGTCAATCCACTTCAGAAAATGTACCCTTCTAAAAATATAATATCCACTCTTTCAATTATGCATCAAGATTATAAAAGATAGCTATGAAAATATGTGAAGTATATACAGGTAGTCTTTGTTTAGTGACCACAGTTGGGACTGGCAACTCCATCGCTAAGCAAAGCAGACACTAAGTGGGAAATCAGTGACCATGACACTGCTTTCCTGCTCAAAACTGACAAGACTAATCAGTTTGACACCTTCAGCTTTTGTTTGCTTCCTAACCACTCCCCCACCCTTTGGAATGCTCACCCTGGCACTGGGATAATTGACAAGAAGGGAATTAATATTTGTATTTACATTCACTGGAGAGGAAGGGATTACAAGGGAGTAAACAAGCACATAATGGAGAATACACATCGAAAGCAATGTACTGGCGCCGGCAGCCAGACCATGCTATGCAGACAGCCCTGTGATTTCGCCATTGTGTGCCTGCCTATTCTCTTGTAATCCCTTCCTCTCCAATCTCTCTGCTCTGTGAGGTGGGGAGGAAATGGTCAGACACAGGAGGAATAGCCTACAGGAAAAACTTGGTATTTTTTCTCCCCCCCCCCCCCTCGCAGAGCAGAGAGATTAGAGAGGAAGGGATTACAAGAAAGTAAACAGGCACACAATGGGGAATACACTGGGCTGTTTACATAGTGTGTTAGCAGCTGCTAAAGCCAGCACATTGCTTTTGATGTGTATTCCACATATTCGATGTGCCTGCTTCCTCTCTTGTAATCCTTTCTTCTCCAATCTCTCTATTCTGCAAGGGTGGAAAAAAAGAAAAATAACAGGTCAGGCACAGGACAACGCATACTGACTGTAATGATGATCACGTAACTGAGGGACAGCACCGTTGTAACCTCAAACAGTCGCTGAACGAGGCAGTCAGTAAGCAAGGACTCCCTGTACTTAAGTGACATGAACGGGCATTCATATATACACCCAAATGTATTTTCCCACCCACCATCTCCCCAATATATAATCTGTTTACTGTGTAGATTTAGACCTGGATTCATGTGGGAGGAGCACTTTGAATATACATCACTTGCAGGAAATGAAATGGCCAACAGAGCATGGCAAATCAGGTAAAACTGGCCTAGTTTTCAGGACAATGAATATTCATTTCCCTTTTTCTGAATTTTCACCCTACCCCATAATTCAGAGTAATGAAAGGAGACATTTTTCTTGTGAGATGATAACAGTTAATCAGAACTGAAGTCAGTATTGCTGTAAAATCATCCCTGATAATGATTGTATCCCTGATTGCCTTCTCAAGATTGTGCTGATTTTTGATGGCAGAGTTTTTCCTTTTGCATCTGGAGAAGGGTGGGGGTTATACACACATAGAGGTCAAGGGCAATTCTTATTGTAATTCACAGAACTATTATTATTATTATTATTATTATTACTATTATTACTATTATTACTATTATTACTATTATTACTAATTTGATTTGTATGGCCACCCATCTCATCTAAGTGACTCTAGGCGGCTCACGACAGGTAAGAACAATCCAATAAAAACAAGTTAAAAACCAATATACAAACATATAAAAACTGTCCATAATCAATGGAAAAACAAACAGAAAATCACAATCAGCAGCAGAATTCATTCAACATCAACTCAGTACAGCCATTGGAAGAACTCCCCACCGTTGCTGGACCCCCAGGCACAGTGGCAGAGCCATGTCTTTCGGGCTTTCCAAAAGGCCAGGAGGATCAGGGCCAATCTAAAGTCTAGGACAGTGTTG